TCCCTAGGGTTTTACATAAAAGATAGGGGACCTGTATCACTGAAGGAAAACAAATGTCTGAATCCACAAAGTCAGTTACTGAAGACTGATGTAAACACTTAACTTTCTGTTATATCTAGTTTTGCCATATAGTTAACAGTGAAATTCTGAAGTCAATTTCTCTGTACTTTTTGTTCAAAGTATTGAATGATGGCATTCATCATGATTCTTGGAAACTGATCACCCAAAAGTTTCCAGCAAAATATAGTTAGGCTTGCACTGAATCAGAGTAACAGTACCTTACATATGACATCTGTTTTCCTATGGATTCAGAGACCGCCTGCATGGAAACTTGCCAAATTCTCTCTAGACCAAGCATTTCCATGGTCTGTCTTTAAAAAATCTTATGTGCGGAGGAACCAAAAAGAAACTAAGTAACTTGGAATCTATAATTCTCAAGACTGTTTTTTGTTTTGTTTTGTTTTGTTTTTGAAACCAAGTCTGCCTCTGCCTCCCAAGTAGCTGGGATTACAAACACTCGCCACCACACCCAGCTCATTTTTGTATTTTTAGTAGAGACAGGGTTTCACTGTGTTGGCCAGGTTGGTCTCAAACTCCTCACCTCGTGATCTGCCCTGCCTGAGCCTCCCAAAGTGCTGGAATTACATGCCTAAACCACCAGGCCTGACTTGTTGTCTTAATCTAAATCTACCTACATAAGGATTATACTTAATTACAAACACTCTGGTTCCAAATAAAAAATTAAATATATTGCCAGGCACCGTGGCTTATGCCTGGTCCCAGCACTTTGGGAGGCCGAGGAGGGTGGATCACCTGAGGTCAGGAGTTCAAAACGAGCCTGACCAACATGGCTTTTGTATTTTTAGTCTCTACTAAAAATACAAAAAAATTAGCCAGATGTGGTGGTGGGTGCCTGTAATCCCAGCTACTTAGGAGGCTGAGGCAGGAGAACTGCTTAAACCGAGAGGGCAGAGGTTGCAGTGAGCCAAGATCGTGCCATTGCATTCCAGCCTGGGCAACAAGAGCAAAACTCCACCTCAAAAAATACTAATAATAATTATATAGACACCAGACATGGTGGCTCACACCTGTAATCCCAGCACCTTGGGAGACGAAGGCAGGTGGGTCACTTGAGGTCAGGCGTCAAGACCAGCCTGACCAACATAGTGAGTGAAACCCCATCTCTACTAAAAATACAAAATTAGCCAGGTGTGATAGCACATGCCTGTAATCCCAGCTACTTGGGAGGCTGAGGCAGGAGAAACACTTAAAACCGGGAGGCAGAGGTTGCAGTGAGCCAAGATTGTCCCACTGCACTCCAGCCTGGGCAACAAGAGTGAAACCCCGTCTCAAAAAAAAAAAAAAAGACATTAACAACCCTGGATGCCAGAAGACAATGGAGCAAAATAATACTTTCCAAGCTCTGGAGAAGTGTTAACCTAGTACTCTATACCTAGCCCAACAGCCAATCAAGCATGAGACTAAATAAAGCTATTTTCAGACATACAGGACTCAGAAAGTATTACTTAAGGGTGTTCTTCAACAAAATATGAAGAAACCAAGGGAAAAGAAAATACGCTCAGGGTGGAGTACAGTGGAGGGACCTCAGCTCACGGCAACCTCCGCCTCCCCAGTTCAAGCTATTCTTCCTGCCTCAGCCTCCCGAGTAACTTAGATTATAGGCATCCACCACCACATCCAGTTAATTTGTGTATTTTTAGTAGAGACAGGGTTTTGCCATGTTGACCAGGCTGGTCTCAAACTCCCGACTTCAGGTGATACCCGACCCAGCCCACCCCGCCCCGCCCCCGGGCCCCGCCTAGGCCTCTCAAAGTGTTTTATAGGCATAAGCCACCGTGCCCGGCCAGGAAACTGTCTTTAATAAGTTATAGGACACCAGTACACGGCATACCTTAAGCAAAGAGGACTCTAGGAAGAAAGAAGATTCATGTGATAGATTAATGATTTGATATCTTCAAGAAGTCGGCGAACATTCTGAGGGCAAATTTTTCTTAATCAACAAGAAAAATGAAAGGCTATTGAAGAATAAATCCATATAAGAAAAGTGATAAAATGTTGCATGTTTTGAGCAATTAATGGTATGTTAGGAGGTAAAAAATAGTACATCTAATCCTGACAATAGGAATATATATACAGCAGCACAGACCTAAGGAAAAATATAATCCCAAACACTACCTACCCTCAGAGAATATAGGGACTGTCAACCCCTCAGACAGGCCTTCCTTAATCACACTAACCCTTCACTCTGCTTTATTTGTATTCCCCTAGCATTTGCTATTACCTAAGCTGTATCACAAACATTACTTCATTGATTCTAACACACATTCTTCTCATTTTTTAACCCGGCTAAAACCAGCAGGCATTTTAGAATCCATACATTTACAACTACTGTCAGCCAGGTGGCAGCCTTGTTACTGTGTGAAAAACCTTCTGTGGATAACTCCTAGAAATATTATAAAAGCGCCCGCATCACATCAGACAAAAGACAATCTTTATTTGCTTGCTAGGATATAGCTCCCTCACTACACTCTCAGCAACATTGAACAGTAATCCATTTTAAAAATATATATATATTCGTATCCTCTAACATAGAACGGTGACTGCTACACAACAGATACTTGATCTGTGAGACTTTTTTTAAGACAGTCTCACTCTGTCACCCAGGCTGGAGTGCAACGGGCCATGTGGTTCACTGCAGCCTCTGTCTTCCGGGTTTCAAGCGATTCTCCCACCTCAGCCTCCCAAGTAGCTGGGATTAGAGGCTAATTTTTTTTTTTTTTGGGGGGGGGGACGGAGTTTCGCTCTTGTTACCCAGGCTGGAGTGCAATGGCGCGATCTCGGCTCATCGCAACCTCCGCCTCCTGGGTTCAGGCAATTCTCCTGCCTCAGCCTCCTGAGTAGCTGGGATTACAGGCACACGCCACCATGCCCGGCTAATTTTTTGTATTTTTAGTAGAGACGGGGTTTCACCATGTTGACCAGGATGGTCTCGATCTCTTGACCTCGTGATCCACCCGCCTCGGCCTCCCAAAGTGCTGGGATTACAGGCTTGAGCCACCGCGCCCGGCCTAGAGGCTAATTTTTGTATTTTTAGTAGAGACAGGGTTTTACCATCTTGGTCAGGCTGGTCTCGAACTCCTGACCTCAAGTGATCTGCTCACCTAAGCTTCCGAAAGTGCTGGGATTACAGGCGTAAGCCAACGTGCCTGACCCTGTGTGACATTTTGACATCTAAGAAATCATGATGGGTCCAACAGGATGTATCCTACATAGTTGGTCCTGATGTTTTTATCTTCTTAGTGGTATACATAATAATAGCAAGTCTTATAAGCAAGGATATCTAAGACTTGAAGGAATTCAGTGGCAAAAAAAAAACAAAAAAAAAAAAAAAAAAAGAAGCACGTCAATAATAGCGTGAGTGAACTGACAGCTCATTTCAAAAGATGAACGGAAGGCTTAGTAAATCCAAGAAATAGAAATAAAAGCTTAGTATTATTTTCAAGTTATAGAACTAAATATCCAATTTTTTTAAAAAAGAAGGGATAAATGTGATTGTCTCCAGAAAGGGGTAGTGCAGTTATCATTTTTCACTATAACCAGTCTATACTATTTTATTCTTACCACGTGCACATGCTTTTTTATAAACCGGAAATATGATAGGAGGGATAAGTAAAAATACACAAAATCACAGAGCCTTCGGACAGGGACATTCACACAGATACAGAAAGACATCCAGGGGCAAAGCGTGTCAAAGTGAGAATAAGGTACCTCCAGATATTTTAATTGGCAGTGCTAATGGCAACCATGAATTCCAGACCCAAATTTTGCAAATCTCTAAAGCATGACATCAACACTTGTTGCCTACTGATGACAGTTACATTTTGCTCATCAGAAAGTCAAAGTAAGGCCAGCAAAGGTCTGCAAGTGTATCCCTGTGCACTGGGATGAAAACTCACACTCGCTTAGGTGGAACAAATAATTACAAGCTCTCCTTCGCTCAAACACTCAGCATTTACACAGCACTCTGTCATCTGCCCTGGTTTACTATGTGCACAATGGCAGACTAAGGGGTTCTAAGCAAGGTCCCTACCGGAAAAGCCGACAATACTATGAGGCAAAAGCTGGGGAGATGGGGCCGCTGCCTGAGAGGTAAGGGGACCGCAACTCGAAAAACAGTGGCCGTAACATGCACAAACCCAGCTTTCCTTCCCTGCGCAGAACCATTCGAATGCCCGCGCCATCCCCTCTGAGACAGGACACCTTTCCCTAGAGAAAGCTAACCAGCTAGCAAACCTAACTTGCCAGGGGCCGGCTGGAGGCGCGCGGATCAAGTTCGGCCTCTCCCTCCCGCCCAAAGCAGGCGCAGAACCATCGCAAAATGTCACAGGGCGAAGACAGAGCGCGCCAAAGCGGGATCCACCCCCAGGAGACGCGGATGCTCCGGGCAGGTCCCTCCCCTTCCTCCTTCAGCCCGCGCGAAGCTCATTCATTCTAGAGGCGGGCTGCTAGTCCTCCCCGGCCGGCCATCCCAGCACTGTAAATTCGCTAGACGCTTTGTCTCGCGCCGGCCGGAAACCCAGGCGCGCACTCGAGCGCGCGACCGCGCTCCAGCGCCCCGCACCTGGGGCCGGCAGGGCAGCCTCTCCGCGCGGGATCCCTGTGTTCAAGGTGCGAAAGCGGACGCTCCTTCTTGGCTGCCCCAAGCGCGCACTTCGCACGTTCCAGGGGGCATCCAAAGCCTAGAAATGGGCATCACGGCCCCTCATCGCTACAGCTCGAGCCCCCTCCTCGACCCCTGCCCCACTATGAACTCTAGATTCTTTCTCTTTTCCGAAGACCGAGACCCTGTCCCTTCTGAAGGATGCGTGCATCCCGGCCTCCACACTCCCTCCCCAGGGCAGAACCCGGAGAACTGGTCGCCCCGGCTGCGCCCCCGCCCCTCCTTGCGGGCGCTAACGCGGCCGACAGCGAGGACTCACTTGAGGAGCAGCTGGTCGTGCTCGGCCTTGCACTTGCCCAGCTCGATCTGCAGCTTGGCGCGCTCGCGGGCCGTGTCGTCGAGCGCGCGTCGCGCGTCGGCCAGCTCGGTCTCGTAGAGCGCCTTGAGGCCGGTGAGCTCGCGGCCGCGCACCTCCTCGCGCTCCGTCACCTGCAGCTGCAGCGCGCTGTTCTCTGTCTCCAGGCTGCGCACCTTGTCGATGTACACGGCCAGCCGGTCATTGAGCTCGCGCAGCTCCTCCTTCTCCTGGAGCCGCGACAGTCGCGTGGGGCTCAGCGGCGTGGTGGGGCCGCCAGTGCGGCTGCCGGTCCGCGGCGGCACGGGGGTCGCGGTCGCCATGGCGGGCGGCGGAGAGAGCGGGACGGCGAGGCCGCGGGAGGGAGCGTGACAAGGAGGGGACGGCAGGGGGCGAAGCGGGAACCGAAGGCACAAACCGGCGACCTGCGCTCGCGTCCAGATGCCGGCGTTTGGAGGAACAGAGCACCTGGGGTGGCTGCAGCTCGGTTACAGCACAAAGGGCAAAGGCCGGGGGGGAACTATGAATCAATCGACCGATCGCGAAATGTCCTTTGTAAGAAAACACGTACACACACTCACACGCACGCGGGAAGATGCAAGGCGAGGGTGACTGGAGGCCAAGCAGGGTCCGCGCCGCCGCAGTCTCCTGCTCGCAGCACTTTGTTTCCTCTCAGGCTGCACGGAGCGGCGGGCGCTGGGACGGGGGACAGGGAGGGGCGGGCTGGAGGCGAGCCGCGGGGGGCGGAGGTGGCGCGGGCCGCTGCGCCGCACTCCCCAACATGGCCGGCGCGCCCTGGAGCCTCCACGTGACCGCCAGCGGCCAATTGGGAGCGGGCAGAGCGCTTCGGCGGCTTGGGGGCCGAGCCTGTAAATTTAAAATCTGGCCCTCGGGCAACCGTCCGCGGGGCACGCCCGGCTGGGCGGGGCCGGGACGGGACTCTGGGTGGCAATGAAGGACGCCCGGGACTGCCCATCCGCGCAGCCCTGGGCCCAGCGCCCTGCGGGCCCTCCCGCCGCCCCGCGGGGTCCCCTGGAGGGGCCGGGCCTGCCAATGGCGGGAAGGAGTCGGGAGGTTTCCGGGGCGGATCTGCGCCGCCGCCCACACCCGGCGGTTCAGGGAAATTCAAATATAAACGTCCCTAAAAGCCAGATGCGAAACTCTTAAGAGGCCCGAGCGACTGCTGGCGTGGTAGGTAACCTTATCCCCCGCCCTGCTGGAGGGCTCGGGAAACGGCCTGGAGGCCGGGCCGCGTGGAATTACGTAATAGGCGCCTGAGTCTGAGGTTCAAAATGCACGGTTGCAGGTTCCAAGTACCAGCCTTTTTTTTTCTGTCCGATGGAAAACCGTATCATGCACCTTCTTCCCATGAAATTGAGATCTGTGCGTCTTGAAGCTGACAGATTAATTATCACAGAAAAACCAGCAACCCTGATTTTAAGTCATTTGCCACGGGTCTTGATGGGCGGTTCCTGATCCGTTGGTTTCTTAGTAATTTAAGGATTTGCAAAATCAAAAACAGCTCAGAAATGATACGATTAACATATGACGGTGAGTAGCTAGAAGCGCAAGCCGTTTCATACTCCGTTAAAATCAGATGCATAAAAATCTGAACTTGTGAAAATTTAAGATGAATTTTTTTTTTTTTGGCGTTTAAAAAGAGGCTCCCAAGATGTCACTGGCAGCTAGTTCTAATAGCACATTCATCTCTTTGAAAAGTTTCTAATTTTTAGGCTAATGTTTATTGGGACTGAGTGCCAGCACTAGGCTTTTCATTACCTATCCACACAACCGCTCTGTGATGTGGGAAACTGGATTGTTTATATTTGAAAATTCATCCGGGCAGAGGCAGTGGCTCACGCCTGTAATCCCAACACTTTGGGGAATCCGAGGCGGGCGGATCACCTGAGATCAGGAGTTCCAGACCAGCCTGGCCAATGTGGTGAACCCCGGCTCTACAAAAATACAAAAATTAGCAGGGCATGATGGCGTGTGCTTGTAATCCCAGCTACTTGGGAGGCTGAGGTGGAAGAATAGCTTGAACCCGGGAGGAGGAGGTTGCAGTGAGCCGAGATGGCACTTTTGCACTCCAGTTTGGGTGACAGAGAGACTCCGTATTAAGTAAAAAAGAAAATTCATCCATAAGAAAAAATAAATAAATAAAAGCAAACAAACAAAAATTCATCCATGTCATAGATGCACTTTCTGAAGGCTGCTCAGCAGGCGACAGACAGGACTGCGTTTGGCAGGTCCCAGGGTTCTAATTGACTTGAGTCTGGCCCTTAACTATACCCTAGCTGGCCACCTCACCACCTATTAGGAACGCTTCTGTAATTAATGGTTACTTACTTTAAAAATGGCAGAAATGGAGACCAGAATATTCTTTAACTATTAATCAAGTCATGTACATAAGAATTAGTGAAGAGCACCGGGAGCTGCATATTCATCCCAGATGAATTTCTGGCACTCTGAATGATGACATCTCATTAGTGGTTTTATTTTGTATCCGGTTTTCTGAAATACCTCCTTTCTTAACCTCGTTGAGAATTAAAGAATTGAAAAGCTTCAAGTATAAGAATTCAGGTAATCTTAAAAGGATCTTTAAAATCTAAATTACTGGGCCGGGCGCGGTGGCTCAAGCCTGTAATCCCAGCACTTTGGGAGGCCGAGGCGGGTGGATCACGAGGTTAAGAGATCGAGACCATCCTGGTCAACATGGCGAAACCCCGTGTCTACTAAAAATACAAAAAATGAGCTGGGCATGGTGGTGCATGCCTGTAATCCCAGCTACTCAGGAGGCTGAGGCAGGAGAATTGCCTAAACCCAGGAGGCGGAGGTTG